GTCTGGGCTACATGAAAGCTATTGTCCTCCCCTTTGAGACTCTGTTTTGAGATACTTGAACCTACTAAGAGATACTGCTTTAAAAGAAGTGAAAGCAACTGCGATTTATAATTTCTGAATTATTCCTAAGGAAAGGAAAATGAGGAAATTTGTCCCAAAATAAATATTTAGTATCTTAAATTGTTTTTCCTTCCCCACGAGGCCAGCTGTTAATTTGATGGTGTCTTACAATTGAGAAAATAACTGGAATAACTTTGTTGTGGAAGCTCAGATCTTTCTCAGAGGCGGTGGCTGGCTGACTTCAGATCAGATATAGTTGTTCCATAAAAACCACAAATGTTCTTCGCAGGAGTGTAATTTCTGAATGCTGTGAACATCCTTTAATCATCCATACTTCATCTTCTGGGCATGGCAAGGCACATCACATCAGTGAATCTGACACCACCAGAATTACACAGTGCTTTGTTTTCTCCATTACTCTGAGAGTTTTGAAGATATAAACAAGAATATAAAGACCTTGGGAAAAAATGATGGGAATTACTGCTCTGTTTCATGCCATTTAGACACTGACAGCTCTGTCTTAAAATGAATGCAGATATTATTCCAGCCTGAAAATTTGTCAGAGTTCTGCATTAATCTCTCTGAATTTCATTGTGGGGAGAAGACTTGATTGTTCTGAGGAGTTTTGAATTTGTATTATACTTCAGAATAGCTTTCAGTCATCTCTTTGGCTTGCACTGGTTGCAGAGATCCCTGTAAGTATTCTACCTGGAAACAGGAGGAAGAAAAAGATGTACTAAGATGAAAACCTCCAGAGATTCTTTAAGAGGGACAGGAAAGTTCTGGAAATAGTTTAATGAAGAATCAATTTAATTTGACAAGAACAGAGCCTCCTGAAGCTCAACCCTGAGCATAACACAGGAAAGAACGCTAAGGATCAAAACACACTTATCCTTTGTGGAGCTCCATCCTGCAGCTTCCCAAGGGGACTGCTGACAATCGTCGTCCACAAAGACCAGTATTTTTCCACTTATCTTCCCTGGTGTAAGTCATGGATCTCTCATTTGAAAACCTATATTTTAAAAGGCTAAGGCTCTCTCAGCCTACATCAGAAAGAACAGAAAATAGCAAGAGACAAAAATTGGTGCAATAGTGCAAACACTGTTGCTGAAATGCTGTGAATCTCCTCTGTATTCTTGTCTCTCATACCCTGTTTATTCCTTTGAGAATAGGGCAAGCCAACAGTGCTGTAATCCCACAAGTCACAATAACTACTTCACAGACTTATCTTCCTACACAACTCCTTTTTATTTCCACTATTCTACTATAATAGGGAGGAATGCCTAATATGCTTGGGCAGTCAAGATTTTCACTTGAACTAGTCAATGGTGAGAATTTTTATAGTGCTCTAGTCTCTATGACAGTACTAATTTTTTTTAAATATTACTACTACCATGACCTTGCTTTACTCATTGTAATGCTAATTTGAAATGCTTGGGAATGGGAGGGGGCTACATGCTGCTGGCCCTGTTAGATGGAGGAATAACGAGCTGCACCAGCAGGAAGAGTGGCAAACTAGTTCAAAATCTTTGATGTTTATCTACAAAAGGAGGCAAGAAGGTTTTCAGCATTCCATACCCCATGTCTACCTCAGCAAGAGCTAAGTCCACACAAGGCTCCCAGGAGCTTCCAGTGGAGGACTGCTCCTTGCTGTGGGCTCCACAAAACTGCAGTTGAAATTGAACCTTTCATACCACACAATGTCAGAAGTAAGGGAAAAACTGCTATATGAAAGATGAAGGGGCTAGAAAATGCCTGAAGAAAGCAGGTAATCTCTCCACTAGAACAACAAAGTGATAAAAATACAATAAGATCTCTTGAAGCTTTTCCAGAAGCATTTCTATCTAATTACTGAGCCATTACTGACTTGGGTCTCATCTGCAAACACTGTGGTGCCCACAGAGTAGATCAATTATTCAGTTTCAATTATCAGTTTCTCATTAGCTGAGTAATCCCTCTAGTCATTGGCTGTATTTTTCTTTATCTCGGCTTCTTTATCTCAAGTATTTGGTATTAAAATTACTAGCCTTGTGAAATAAGAAAAAAATGAGAACTACAGATCTGATATGCAAGGCTATATTAAAAGATTAGGCAGCAAAGTTTTATTTTATTTCTAGGCTTTTTAACAGTGAACATAATGTGTTGTTCACAGACAACTCTTCTTCTGCAGGTCATTCTCAAAAAAGAAGACACGCCTTCCTACAAAATCTGTTTCAGTGACAGTATAATTAGTGCAGTTGCTAATTTATATACAAGATGCAAATAATCATCTTTACAACAGTTTTCAATACATATATACAAATATTCGTGCATGTGTTCCTGCTCTTTTTGTTCAAGTGTCCCAAACCTTCCTTTTTTTTTTTTTTTTTTTTTTTTTTTCCTTCTTCTAATATGGCCATATAGGCTCACATCTTTCTCTTCCATAATTTCAGTTCCAGATAAATCTTGTAGAGAGAGACAGAGAGAGAGAGAGACAGAGAATTAAATAACCAGAAAACAGGAGAAAGAAAAAAAAAAGGAAAAATTTGAACTAAGATGTGAAAGGGTTTGAGTTACCAATTTACATGAGTAGAGCAATCAAATCTTTGCAGAAAAATATATGTGAGTAAAGATGCATTATGATATCTCATAGAAATGACACCGGATTTTCTCACACACTGTATTCAGATTCAGGGAAAATGTGGGTGTCTTGATGTTGGGGATGAAATTCCTCTTTTACTCCTTCTGTCTTTTCTCTTGGTTATTCAACAGAACCTTCTTTCTTCTTTGCAAATGATATGGATTTGTTGATATCCTCATAAATATGTATTCAGTGTAAGTACTTTTCCCATGACATCGCATATTTAAGATTGGCTGTGAAACTTTAGGCAGAAAAAAAAAAGCAGGAGCTACTGAGGTGGAAACACATTTATTATTTTGCAGATTAAATACCATGAACTTCACCTCTGAGTGTGGCCATAAATATGAGGTATCTGTGACTCCAAAATTCCTTGCACACTCTTCAGTATTTCCATATATATATTTGAGGTAGGAGCCACACACACAAGACTGTCAAGCTCAGAAGATGCACAGGAAGAAACTGGATAAATGCAGCACATTACAGGAAGTCACAAGTAGCCGTATCAAAATGGACTCAATAAAGCAGAGTATGGAGAAGGTGTAGAAAAATACAAACTATAAAGTCTTCATTTTCTCTATTAATCAGCACCAAAAACAGAATACACTTTCTAATGATGTTGGCAGACACGTTGTTTTGGTCTGAACACATTACCTTGCTACCTCCTTTGAGTGTACTCTCGATCCATACTTGACTACAGACCAAAAAGACGAGATCCCAGCTCCCTTCTCCCCAGATTTGTATCTCAATTCTAGACATCAGTTCACTGATGAGTCAAACACATGCAAATTGTGTTTGGAAGAAGAAAGTGAAAAATAAGGCCTTTGTTCATCAAAGCAATTAAGTCAGTATGTAGCTGAAGAGGTGAGGCCAGGCCAACTAACTCAGCTATACTCAGCTGTGCCTAACAGTGAAGGGCACTGGCTTGGCCAACTTCCACATGCTGATTTCTTTGGGATCAGAGTGTATTCATCCGCCCAGGCCATCTCTAGGTGGCCTGGAAGTTGCCTGCAGCTGTGAAGCTCTGAGCCACAGGTGACTGCTTATGGCAATTCTATAGAGCCCGTTGCCATCGCAACCTAGGTGAGCTGATGCTCAGCATCCTGCTGTCTGTCCTGTGGCTATGTGGCTCTAATGAAGCCTCTAAGAGCTTTGTCATTGACTTCACTGGGGTCAAGATTTCACTCCAAAAATGGATCTAGCCCCAAGGCACTGGATACAGATTTTTAATGAAATTTTACAGGACAAGAGTTCTTGCTGTGGCTCAAATTTTAATTTAAACCACTTCAGATAATTTACTTCTGCTGTCAGGAAGTATCATTCTTAACCCCAAGATAAAGATCTTACTTCCATTTAGGTGCTATACTATGTGCCAGCATTGTATTTTCAAATATCAAGTGCATTTTCACTGCTTCTCTTGCACAGGATATGTACTATGCAGTAAGGAGGAACAAAGTATGATGTTTTAATTACTCTTTTGCTCCTCCTCCAGATGGTCTCTGTGACCGGTGATCTTTTCTCTAGTCTATATATTTCCTGCTTTAATTAGCTTACTCAACTGGGAGCACATCTGAGAGACACATGATTGGATAAAATAAAAAATTGTTATTAGCACAATTCCTTTCACAAAATTAGAAGCAGATAAATAGTTGGGGCCATAATTGAAAGCCCTTACTAGAAGACAAGCTGATTGGTGTTGTTACAAAACCTGAGAGATTCCCAGGCTTGAGCTAATTTTGCATCAGCCAGGACTGCAGGAGCAAGGCAATGACTCTGTTAGCATGGTCAGAGCTGGGTAACAGATCTGCCATGCATATTTATCAGCTGAGGGCTGGCTCAGGTTGTGCCGCTCTCTGATAGGACTGAATTATTGCTATTGCTCTGATTTACCACTTCCTAAGAAAGAACACAGCAAACAGATTTTTGCAGGGGGAGAGGAGGGGTTGAAAAAAGTTATATCCCTCTTTATCCTTACCCTTCTCCATCACGCATGCTTGTGAGAAATGGCAATTGGGGGGCCCAAACATCTGTCCTTGGGGGGCTTTGCTGGGAAATGCCAAGCAGTTGCTGACAAGATCTGACATAAAAATGGGGATCTGACACAAGTTTGTTCAGAAAGGCAGTCTGGAGCAAGACTGAGGCTCTTCCCTCTTGTACCAAATTCAAAGCTTTTTGCTGCTGAATGAAAGATCTGAGCAAGGTCAATTCTGAGAATCTGAATGCTTCATGCCTGGCTATCATTAACTGGTGAATGGGCACGCCTCGTTTTTATGCAGCCATAATAATTTTATTTGAGTGTAAAGATAGAAAGAAGGATACTTACGGGATCCCTTTTCACAAGGCCTGGGTTAGGAACAACGATGATGAGGTGGGCAATGGTAAACATGGAGTTCAGCACGTAAGAAAAAAACAAATTCTTATGCAGTGTTATCCTTTGACAACTTAGACTCCTGAAAAATATGGAGCACACGTTGTAAATTATTTTTCTTCTGAAGTCACTTTAACAAGCTCTTTCTGGCAATAATTTCTCAAGAATGCCTTTTGGCAAGGCGTAATCGGAAAACACATGCCTTGCATTGCAGCCGTAACCTCTGACAAATTTTTTTGCTTTGTTTTTACACCTGTTTAGTACCACATGCTTTTTAGCCATGTTGCAAAGAGCCATCCAGCTACATTCTCATCCCTTGATGCTTTTCATTATTTCATGGTAATCGAGATATTAAGTGCTGAAGCAGAACCCTGAGAATTGTTAGATACACAAGTAGCAAAAATTAGGACCACTGCTTGATAATAAACTATTCCTTGGAGACTCAAATTCTCAAATATTCTGATGAATATTATTTCCTGCTTTAGGAATTGTTGGTGAGAACATTGTGTAGGAATCCCCTTAAATTTCAGGGGGATTAGGGTTGGTATCCTGCATGCCTCTGACACCAGCTGAAGAGGTTGTTTTCCTGCCCAGAGGGAGCAGCAGCATGGGGAGGGTGGTGGATATCTGCTATGGAGGGTAGCAGAATTTCCCAAGGTTACAAAATTCTTGCACAGCTAAATCATGACTTCAGTTTCTATTTTGAACCATCTGTCCTTTCCAATTCCTACCAAAAATCTTAGGCCACCCCCTTGGCTACCCCTGAGCAGAGAACACCTCCAGAGCTGATTACAGAAAAGTGGTCCTGAAGATGACAGATAATGATGTTTGCCCTCACTGGTCACTGAAATAAAGCTGGTGAAAACCGCAGGTAAAGGATCAGCTAAGACAAGCAAATATTTCTTCCTTCTGATGCATGTAAGTCTTTCACAGTCTGGAGCTGTGCACTGGCTGTGAGTTTTAGCTGCTCTGTACATGGAGGTTAATGCAGAATGCACTTTTTCTAAAAACAGAGAACTGCTTTCTGCTTATCTGTTTGCTTCCATGTATATTTATGTATGTATTTATTTATTTTCCTCCTTGGTGACCTGCCACATATTTTTAAGTTGTTCTTACACCTTTTCTGTGAGCTACTGGATGGAAATCTTCCTTTAGCTTAGATTGCCTTGCTGGCTATGGTCATCATCATCCTGAAATTCTCACTACTTTTGTTATCTACTTTACCCACCAAGACATCTTCTTCGTTTCAGAATGTCCGTGAGATGGAGGCCCCTGGGGCTAGAATGAAGAGTATCTCTTTACCCTAGTCTGGATTTTATATTATTTTAGCATTAGCTATTGGCAGCTGTTGAATACCGGATATGGGGCTAGGTGCACCTTTAGTTTGACCTCCTGTAAGATAGAATATTGGGGAAAACAGACTGTTCTTTGGACTGACCTATTCTACACTGTGCTATTGTGCTTATTTTACTTGTATTTGTCCCCATCACAAATCGAGCCTAATGTTCCTCTTCTGCTCCTCTGCACTAGAAGTGTTTGTCTGGTCCTAATTCTTTCCTTCTCTCCATTCTCTATCATTACACTTTGTGCTACTGGCATCACTTATTTTGGGACACTACCATGTACACTTCACCCTCTGTCTTCTTACAGTTCTGATAACATACATCTCATCCTCAATAAATCAAGATTTGCCCATCACTTAGAGCAGTCTCTTTGGTCATGGCCACAGAGATGCAGATCCTTGTCTCTCCAGCTGCCTCTCTATGTGGCTACAAGTATAGACAGTCAGTTTTATGTGATAGTCTCTGCCATATATGTGGACTTCCACTTTCATTCCTGTCATTCCTCACATTCCTGCTTTTCTTGGCTTTTCCCAGTCTTACTTCTCTATAAAATTGGAACTACCCTTCCAAATAGTTTGCTCTATCTGCTGTCCAAGCACTTTGCTCTGCTTTTCATCATCCTTCCTTCAGTCTCTTAAACTTTTCTTCCTTGATTACAGCTTTCATGTTAATGATTGAACAGCATCATGAAGTGTATATTTCTCTATTCTCACTTAATTACCTGACCCTTCGTATTTTCCATTAAAATGACAATGAAACCTTCCTGATTTGGTCTGCCTTGAGAGGAAATCTCCTTTTGCCCAATCTTCTCATCTTTCTCTCTTTCTCAGCATCTACACTTATAACGGAAAGTTTGGCTTCACTAATTTTCAGCTGCACTCACGGTCCAACTTGTTATCTTCTATACCTCCACCTCCCTTTTCCTATTTATCTCTTATCTCATTGAAAATTTGCCAGCAATTCTGCCTGGAAACCCTCTTTTTCAATTCCAATCTTATCCATCTACCCATCTTGCCCTGCACATGAACCTGTGCTCAGCAGTTTGTGATATTCACTTCCTAGCAAAACCCAAATTCGTTCTACCTGCTGGTTTTGACAGTCACCACTGGTATTCTCCTTCTCTGACTCTTTCTGGCTCTTCTCCAGATTCCCTAATCATTCCTTAAAGGTGTCTTTGAAAGATGCCCATCCTCCACTCAACTTTCTGTACGTTCCCTATTCAGCTTTATTAATCACTATGCAAAAAGGCACGACTAAGCTAATCATCCAGACCTAAAATTCCATTTCTCTTTATGTCATTATGATTCTATCAGTTGTGTCTCTGACTTTCAGTATCTCCTATGATTTGCACATTTGTCTCTCATTTTACTTTTCTTCCTATGCTTCCTATACTTTCTTTAACAGAGATAGGACATCCTATTCACACACAAGCACCCTTATTTTTGAGTTCCTACCCCCAATTTTCTATTGCATTTATGATATTGATTCCCAAGGCATTTTTCGCACTATTTTCTTTCTATTCTGTGAATCTGTCACTGTTCTTCAATCATGGACATTGAGAGCACTGATTTTCACACCCAGTCAGTTATTTTCCATCTCCTGGAGATTTTTTTTAGTTTTCAAATAATTATTTTCATGCTTTCTACCACATCCTCCTTGGAGAAAACTCTCAACAAATTTCTACAACTGATCCTTCCATACATTATCCTTCTTCTATTTTCTGTAAAAGCTTTGCCAACAATGGTACTGGCAGGTACATTCACAACACAACATCTATTGTTCTCACAGACCTAAACTTACTATACTCTTCAGTTATATTTACAAAAATATCTTTGTTTTAATAATTAAACGGGAAGTGATTTGGAGTCAGGTATCTCTTTTTTCCTTTTTGTCATGTAAGACAATGGAAGTAGTGTTAAGATGCATGTAATTGTTGGGCACACTGCTTTATGAATATTTGTTTCCTATCATAAATAAATATTGCTTATCAATGCTCACCAACACTGACTCAATATTTCCTTCCAAAAGTACTGTATCTGGCATCTATGATGCCAGATAATTATGAATTTAGATTCTTCAAATTCAAAGGAGAATAACCTCTGGCAGGAAAGACTGCTTATATACGGGAAGAATTTTTCTTCACATTCTGAAACAGAAACCTCTGTGAGCTATTAACTGACATGTCTACGATCAAAGGCTACTGTACAGCTCCAAAACCATCTCTTACATTTGACTGACTGTCTGATTGATAGCTTGCCTTCTGTTGAAGGTCAAATAATCTATCACTGCCATATCCAGATAGGAGAAGACAGCTGAAGGTAACAAGAAGACTGCTCCCATACAGCTTTACTCTTACTTCCTTATTATTTTAGTTTGGTTTATTCTTTGTCTTCTCATCTTGTAGCAGTTTGTTTTGATCCCTTTTTATACTTCTTCCTGTAATATTTGTGTTACAAATTACTAATTGAAAGGAAAGGATAAGCAGAGGAGAAGGAAAGAGGGAGGCATATTGCTGTCAGGAAGGCTATTGTCAGATGAATCTTTCAGCATGGCCTGGGAATGTCAGGATTGAGCTGTCAGTGATTCAGAACTAACACTGAGTCAACCTGAACCTGCCTTCCTCACTGCAAGGCCCCAGAGGTATGGAATTACCTTTTTGAACCAATTGGGTTAGGCATTTTAACCAAATCCTGTCCAAACAACCACAAAGAGCTCTGGAGCCTGGCTAGAAGATTTCACATCCCAGACTTCTCAATGCACTACTGTAGCTGTGGTTTTGCTCTATTTCTTAGAAGAAATGGGAATTCAGCAGTTCATTAGACAATCTCTAGCTACCTCTATACCCCATTAACATGATATCACAGCCACTCATCAAATTGATCCTATGGAAAATACCAGGATTAATAACCCATATTTTTTATTCACCCACTTTGAGCCTATAATCTTACAGGTTCCTATTACAGCTTATGTAAAGTCCAACTGTTGCACTTCCTGTTTCATAGGTTTCACATATTACTAAGCATGCTCTTTTCCAAGACACCTTAATCTCATCCATGGTGAACTTGTTCAGGGATCAGCAGCTGAAGTAACTGGGCAGAAGATTTACATAACACTACTGAGACAGTGTTTACTAGAAAGCACGCAGTCTGAATATATCCATAGGTCTATGAATCCAACCAAAATATAAAAGTCAGTCCTATCACGTTTCTGCTGTGCTCCAGCTGGTAAAAAATATTTGGAGCCTGACTGAATTCATTCAGAATATCCAGGTCCCCTTGTTCTCTGACTCATGACTTCTCACCTGAGTTATGGAATATCTCAACCTCTCTTCTGAAACTACATTACTTCAGTATTGGTTACTTTATTTTACTCTCATTAAAAATAACTTCATTCTTCTATTCTGCCATAGAAACACTGTTTTCTGTTTCTCTGCATTTTCATGTGGAGATACCACTTCCTTACCATCTCCAAGAGGAATTCTGTCCTCTGCCAAAAAGATGCAAAAGGCTCAGCTATTCTCTTGATTTTGTTGAGTGGAATGTATTTGGAATAATTAACCCATAATATTTGACCTGTTAACAGATATATTTCTCAGATTTGTACATGGATTTATCATAGGACGTAAGGAGTGCATTTTCAGAAAAGACTGCAAAGGTAATATAAATCAAAGTTGAGGCCAGAAATAGGCTGAGGTCCCTCATGTAAAATTTGAGTTAAATAATGCAGGGTCTTTGAGACTATAATTGCTTTAAGCACTGGAACAAGTATTTGGGGTCTCATGGTGCAACTTTCACTGCAGACTGTTAAAGACAAAGTCAAACTACCCTTTGCTCTCTAAAGGCAGAGGTTCAGCAAGAGCATCTTTTTAACCCAATTTTCTACAACTGCTATATACATTTAAGCAGGAGTTTTGTGTTTGCTATGTAATGATGGGTTCTATAAATCTTCATATTTCTATTTGCGGCCAAAACACACATCTTAGAAGTTCAGTTAATGAAGTTGATGGTATCTTACAATCCAGCATATAAAGCACTTCATGTTGTACCAAAGTTACTCAGTTATGATGCAACACATTAAATCTACCAGGTCCAAGATACTTAAGAAATGCCATTTAGTCTAGACATACAAAATCTCTGTACTACAAGAGTCATACGAAATGTTTATAACTAAATGGTTATAATGTTTATAACTAAATGTGACAGAATACGCACTGGGTGTACTTCATTCTGATTACATGGTGACAAAATTCCAATGATTACAGAAATACCCTTTGTTTTAAGTTACTGCTACAAGATTAAAGAGTAGGAAAAAAAACCCTTACAGACTTTGAAATTCCAATGTGAAAAACTGCGTTCATGGAGAATGAATCCTGCTTTTTTTGAAAACAAAGCACATATGAATTCATGATTTGGCATGAGTGGGAAAGTGTAAATTTAGAAACTGTTCATAATTCACAGTTACTATCTTGGTCACTAAGATCTGAAAAAAAATGTATTTGGTTTATTTGTTGTACTTGCCTACCAATTTGATAGATTAGATGGGTTCGGGGTTTTTCAGATTTCAGTTTTATAGAAATGTCAACCAAATAAAAAGAAATAATTAATTGTGACCTATCTATAAAAGTCATGCTCTTTTGTCAGTCTACTGGGAACGTAATTAAGCAGGTCTAAAAGTACTTTATGCTTTTGGATTACATATATGCCTTTGACCTTCTGAAATAGATTGATGGCTACACAAAATAATATCATGTAACTTTCTATGAGAATGATTATAAAGAAGTGAAAAATTGTATTTTGAATGCTCATCAATGACTTTAAAAAAACTTAGTGCTACTCTAACACAGGCCTATTTGTGTTCTCACATAATGAATAACTTCAGCTTCAAATATTTTCTTGCAGGCTCCAAAAAATATACTCTTAATAATAACAACAGTGATGGAATTCAATTGCTATGGTGTACCATTATTGCATAACTACTCTTTCTTCATTGCTGCATAGAAGATTGTGAAAAAAACAGTTTGTATCTAATCAACTCAGAAAACTTCTCTTGTCCTTTTAGATTACCTTACAGCTATGTTCAGATATATTCTGCAGCTGATGAGCACTTCTCTATCTCTGGTCATGAAGTAATGGTCTTGCCCTCTGACTGCAAATAATGGATGCACCTTTGCTGAAATCAGTAAGATAATACAATCCCATTCGGGTCATTTTTCCAAAGTATCTGAATGGACATCATAACCCCAGTTTCTGAAGTCCCAGAAGCTGGCAGTTTACAGTAACCTTAAACTGACACACCTTAAGAAGATTGCTTAAAAGTTTGGGAAAGAATATATGTTATGCAAGTCAGCATAGCTCTGGATGCACAGTAGCTCAGGGCCCTGTCCAGCAGTTATTCGCTAATATTTTCTCCACAGTAATCTCCCTGTATCATGTTTACACTGCTACTGAGAAATCCTCTTCGGCTAGAGTGTGTTTTAGATATATCTAGATACCTCAGCTTTTCATGTGATTTAAAAATAAAGAAATAAATGGAGCCCTTAATCTGCTAGAAATGTACTGGCATTAGTGTCTTTCATTTATCAGCAGTTCCCTGAAGTGAAACCAGACAGTTTGTTCCTCACTACTGATAGCGTCTGAAACCCTGACTAAATGTCTGAGGGCAAATCTGAGCTCCTACTTCTCCCTTGCTGCTGTAATAAAGTGTGCAAACAAGTTCACAAAAGTACAGTATGCTGAAATGCATACCTGAACTCCCACAGCGTAGCTGCAACACTTTCAGTGAATATCAGTTTAGTCTCCTTGAAAGTTCTGATATAAAACATTACTGTTTTTCCTTTTAATGAAAATGACTGCACACTACTGTTAGATGCATCCCTAGTGATGAGTTCTGTAAGCACCTACATATGTCATGTCAACAGATCAGTCCCTCAGCAACTGATGAGGGTATTCCTGTCCTTTGGGAGATGGGAGGTTTCAAATCACTGCCATGTGAAGTCACTGCTACTTCTACGGGCTGGACATGCCCTCCAAGGAATAACAGGCAACTGGTAAATGAAAGGCCTTAACCAGATTTCCAGTTACACTATTTCCCTACGGATGGCACTTTTACACTACTTTGAATAATCTATCATCATAATTTTGGCTGCACACCATTGGAAGATGTCCCAGTGGCGAGAGAACCCCGTGCAGATGCTTTTTGTCCAATCAGTATCATATAAAAAGGCACTCGGAAGAGCTGGCCATGTTCCCTTCCAAGCTTTTCTTTAATTACAACATGAGATCCCTCATGGAAAGAAGAAAGAGTGTTTGTAAGAAACACTTACTTGAAATAGAAGAAAATTGCCAAGGAAATCAACAAGGATGTTATAGACAAAGCATGGCCAACGATCGCCATATAATAAAGTATGAACGCCATCTGAAATTTAACAAAAAGAAAAGGCAAATATGAACAATTTGCAGGCACCCATTATTTTTTCTCATTGAGGAAGAATCTACAAAATCAATCTACATTGCATTTCTTTTTTTCACAGCTTCTTTTGCAATATTCTTTTCATAGCAGCATTACATTAAATAGCATAACACAAGGTCTACAGACAAGATAAGTGTTTCTTACGTAAGTTGACCTTTTTTCTGCTGCACTGAACTCATTGGTAAAATCTTTGCCTAAACTATGCATAAGTAAGTTTTCCAAGCTTTAAGAGAGCACAGCAGACATAATGCATATGGATTTTCAAAAAGACCATGGCAAGTTTCTACTCTAAATAAATATTGAACAGGATTGGAAGAAAGTTTTTATAGTCCAAACCATGTTTAAGCAGCAGGGAGTAAAATCTTTATGGACACTTTTGGATGGAGACAAGTCAGTTAGGTGACCTCAGGAAAGGTATCGGGGCTGGCTTTTAGTTTAGTGTATTCATTAATGACGTGAGGACTGTTTCCAGATCATGCTTTGCACTTCTAGAGAATAGTAACAGACTTTTCACATAACTAAGAGAGAGGACAAGAAGATACCATGCGAACTTCAACAAAGACAAAAGCAGGGACAAGTGATATAAGCCCTATCTACAAAATGCTAAACTTCAAACTGGCAAATTCAGGACCAAGATGTTGGAGTAATCATGGTCAGGTCTCTGAATTTCTAGCTCAATCTGTAGCGTTAGCCGAAGAGTCAAGAAAACATCAGAGATAACAGGAACAGACATGGAGATAGAACATCCTTTTGTCTCTGTTCAAAACTTACAACAGACATCTTTCTGGCCTCCTCACCTCAAGAAAGACATAGTAGAGCTGGAAAAGGTGAAAAAAAGACAACTGAAATAACTGAGGAGGTAGAATGGCTGTGCTATGACACATGGGTGCAAATTCCAGGATTCTCCAACTGGAGAGGACAAGTCATTGATGGCTTATGACTAAGGTCCAAGAAGTCATGAAAGCAGTAGGTGAAAACTATTCAGTAGAGGTGAAAACTATTTAGAAGCTCCAACCACATTTCAATAAGACACCCCACGGCAATTCTGATTGTGACACTGAAGTGAACTTCCCTGTTGAGCAGCTAGATAGTCTTGTTATCATTGTAAAAACTGTGTATGAACAGATGACCAGGAGTTCACTTTACTAATATTGTCAAAATCTACAATAGGCCTACCCATATTTCATGTGCCAACAGTGAAGCAAAATCATGGGACAGCACCTTAGCATCAGAATGCTGCAGTATTTAAATGCCATACTGGGGTCTTAGCTAAGCTCTTAAGCAACATCTAGCTGTCAGAATACTGTGGGAGGCTAATGGCATGCCAACCTCCAGTGTTCCATTTTTTTCTGAAAGCACTAGTATAATATCAGCTTGTCCTGAAAAATGACTAGATAGGAGGTTCTTCTGCTGGGTTTATTTTCACCTCTATTTCATTTTTCTTTTGTTATGCATGGGCAATTTTCCTTTTTCAATGATTAGATGAATTTTTTATGACCACTCTCCTCTATGAAAAGCTCGTAAGTACCTGTGCAGCATTTTGAATGTGGTTTCTTTGTTACTCCTTCTTAGCATCTTTTGTGTGCTTTAGGCAAAGAAAGAAAAATTAAGGGAGAAGACATGTTTCATGCAACTCTTTCATTTCAGGCACATTCAGCTAATATCTGGCATGTTTCTAATTGATTTCTGTAGTCCTGAGTTTTGCCAATCACATTTTTTTGGCATTTCCAAGACAACAGAGAATTGCTGTTGAAAACAGGTAGGAATAAAATTCAGAAAACAAAGCTATTGTTAGTACAGGCGTACATCTTTCCATCCATTCTTCAGAGATTGTATGACTTCAGAGTCAGATTCTGCTTTCATTTACCTAGGAGGTGTAGTGGTCTGCTTTGTATTTACAACAAAGTCACATTTACACCATTCTGGCCATGTAGACATGATACAAGTATCACTCAGCACGCACATAAACTGGAAAAGTTCTGTATCTCCTGCTTCCCTTCCACAATGACCAACCACAATATTCTAGTGACTGTAAATTTTTCAGAAGTTTTTTGGTTCTTCTTTCGGAGAGCTCCAGCAACCCTAGAAAAGGCAGATCAGAGTGTAGAGAAGATAGATTTCTGAATATGGAGAAACAGGAGGGGTTTTTACCTATGTGCATGTGTCATTTCTTTCACTGCATACTACGTGGTGGCTATATGATACTAGAGTGATACAGTTTTAAAGCCTGAATTTAATTTACAGATTAATTTTCATAGTTTTGTTCATCTGCATCTGCCATATAAAACCCCTAGCAAATAACAGCTGTAAGTAGCAAAAGGTTCCAGGTAGCTGCATGCAAGTCTATGTGCATCCCTAAGGACTTCTGATGACACAAGCTCTCTACCTTTTAGCATACAATTGCTAAACCAGTTCAAAGGTGTATCTGGGACTCTGCATAGCTTTTATGATTATTCCATGTAAACTTAATATGGTAACTGTTCAAAAAAGCTTTCCACGTATAACACTGCATATGGATCAGAGAGAACTGACCTCTCAGGTAATAAAGCTTATGGTCTATTACTGCACTTTTAAGAATCAGATGTGATTTGTTTTTCAAGTGATTCATCTCCAAAATACAAGTTATTATTTCCAATTAGCTTCAACGAGCAATTAACTATTTTATTAACCTCTGCACTCTTTGAAATGGCAGTCTCTGATGGCCCTTCTAATACACAGGGCTTGTAATGACTCACCAAATTTTTATTTTATGCACTTTTGTGGGTTTAGAATACTTGAAATAGAAACACTTAAATGCTCTTCTTCCCATGTCCCTCTTTAATTCTTCTCTTGAGGAAAGAATTCTCAAATAAAATTATCTTCTACTCAGTTAATTAGATTCTATATAGATACATCAAAATACTCTAGAAACAAAGCACACTCCTGGTTTTCGAAGACTTGGACTACAGGTCATAATCCAACTTGGTATTTCTGTAAAGATAGATTCTTTCTGCATTTTCCATTATTTTTTGTTTCAGAACAATCTCAAGGGATGTATAATTTTCCATTGTGTTCTATCTGCACTGCACTTGAATGATATTCAAAATTCTTCTTCTGGAAGGCACGGGTAATAGCCAACAGAACTACATTTTTTGCCTCTCTATTTGGGCCAACATCTGGAAAAATGGTATTTTTATGGTGCTTGCATTTAATGCTTCTGTGAGTTGAGATTCTTACTATTACTCTATCTTGCACAGGTGAGCCGCACTTTAACATGATGATTCTTCATGTTGCAAAAACTTTTAGAATTCACCTCCTGCCTAGGCCAGTAGACTTTTCCAAGGTTCTTTTTGCTGGGTCATTACTAAATATAATAACACATACGAGTTTTTGGCTGTATTATAAAAGATCCTCCAAGACAAACCCCAAATCAATTCACTTTCTGACTTTCCCTGCCATAATTCCAAAGAGTCACAAATTATTCTGTCACAAATCTGTATTCAGATTTTCCTGGAGCTCCATTCACATTTGAGAAATATGTTTATTTTCATGAGCATACCTAAATTCTGTTTTAAAAACTTTTCTCAGATTTCCTTCTCCTTTCTTTTGTTGCTTTCTGACTTGGATCTCCTTTTTCAGCTTAGCAACTCAGTTTTGGAAATATTGATTCAGATGTTTAATTTATTAGTGTAAATAGTCACACTGACTTCAGTAAAACAAATATAAGTGTGTTCAGGTTTGTGGAACTTTGGGGCATAATGGTATCTTCATAAAAGTTTCTATTCAAAGGGAATGAGTAAAGATGATATTCTTTGCTTATGAAAACAATCTTAACCTATTCTAGGATTTCCAGCCTTACTAAGAAATTATCAACAGCTTGGAACATTCTGGTTAAGGAAAACAAAACTGAAGTTCTAAAGGATCCTTTTATAACTGTTGGACAGTCAGGGGAAAAAAAAAAAAAAAAAAAAAGGAATTAAAAAATGCATTTGAAAAATACAGCGAAGTTGGTGAGCTACTGTTGAATTGCAACTAAATCATCTAGCCTCTAGCAAACATGTATTAGATCTAATTTAGATCTAAGAATTCATGAAGTAATTTTAATGAGTTAAAATTAGGAAGCCAATGCTATTCAACTCTTGTGCAACAAACAAAACTAAAAGATGGAGATGATTCTGACCAGTTTCATATGTGCCCAGCCAAAAACTGTTCCAAGACAATTGCTGTCTTTTTAACTGTAGCATACCTTCAATTTTTCAGATGTGAATGAGTTGCACAGAGTGTAGTTGGACCAAGTTCGATTGCTCTCAGGATGGCGGAACCAGTTTCCAGTTTCATCACAGTATTTTGAAGCTCTTTCTGATGGTAAAGTGCAATAATAATTATGTTAGCTTATTACACATTAAAAACCTTTTAAAGAGAATTACTGTTTAGAAATAGAACTCCTTGTGAGAATAAAATACAGTTTCCTTTTTTTTTTAATTAGAGATTTATCTGACACCACACTTGTTATTTATCTGTCTCCTGTTGGTCTTGAATGAATGCAATAGAGCATATATACCCAACCTTCACTCAGATGCAATTATTTCCATGTTAATAATTCAGTTAAAGAGGCTGTTGAAACTTGCTTAAACTGGCACTCCCAGTGAGGTGCCAGTATCCCTCCACAGACACTAATAAATCAAGTCGTGTGGTAGGGTTCCATGTTTTACAGGGAATAATTGAAATATTAGTTAAAGGTGATGTGTAATGAAAGGGCAGCAAGCAGTACATTAACTGGAGCTCAGGTACTGGTGATGTCAATAGTCCCAACATCAGCAGTGCATCTGTGCAGACATCTGGAAGAGTCTATGCCAGCAGTGGCCAGGATCACTGCTGATTTGCCCCTGATGTTGCAAACATAGAGATAAGCAGCCTCTATGCTCAAATAATCTGATGTGTGTTTGGCTTCTCTATGCAACTCTGTCACAGGTGACTCCAGCACTCCCTGCAGTGCTCACCCAGATCCGTGCTTTGTTGCACGTGTCTTTCTCTTGCAGTAGCAGCACCATTAGGATATCTCAGGGGAGTGTCTGGAAGCACAAATGTGTGCCATGCAGGCATCCTCCTGGCTGCATCTGCATTTCTGACTCAGAAATCCTAGATGTAGGGGTGCAGACAGTCACTTCTAATCACCTGTGAAGTCTTGGACTAATTCCTTTGGCTTTCCCCCAAGTGTTAGCCATAGGGGAATCAGTAGAAAACTTGCCCGTGTAACAGAAGTGGCTACAATCAGAAGCTTAAATTATTTGATGTTTTCTTAGAAAGGACACAATTGTTTATGTATAAAATTTGCAGCAGTTTAAGTCTGACTTTTTTTGGCAGACTAAGTGTGTCTTGACATCTCTTTTTCTATTGTAGCTTTATGATTTTATTGACCCTTTGCATAGGGTCAATAGTAGCATTTTCAATCCAAGTACATTTTCAATTTACTTTTAAAGAGCCAATTACCATTTGAACAGACACATTTTCATTTCTTTCGTTCAACATTTGTGTTTCTTTTTCTTAGTCAGATCTGATGATTAATGGCTCTAGTAACTTGGAAGATTCATATTCCCTCTCTTTACATGCTGTGAAAAGCAGTTGATTGTGCTGGCAAGGTAAGTGTTATGTGAACTGAGTTATCTTCCTCTGACTAGACATGCACTTTGTATAGCACTACTGCACAAAGAAGATGATCCTCCAGAACACAGCATACTTTTGAAATTACCGTGAGCTTCAAATCACTGATTTGAGGGACTTGCTGAAAATCAATATGTGCATTAGCAATACAAAGAGGAACAGTACATGCTATCTCAGCCTTCCATCACTGCAGCTTGCAGATAATCTCAGTCTGCCTGTATAGCAATGTTCTCGTTGTACTCTTTGCCAGATATTATCTAAAGCTGGAAAAAGTGTTCAGTCATAGATAAAAGATTAATGGTTACTCTATCATGGAACACAGTGTACAAACATTGTACCTGCTATCCTATATACTGTGCAAAATGAGTGGCTTTTGTTAATATACTATGGAGCATGATGGTAATACCATCTATCATCTCTGCTCTTTAATGCCTAGGTAGGCACACTGCCTAAGTTTAATGTGACCTTTGTAAGTCAGAGATAAATCTGTTGCTTCACAGTTTTCCTTGAAGCCAGATAAACGCAAGCGATTCTACTTTGCAAGTTGCCACAGCCCACTGATTTCCTGCTGTAATGCTATCAGGAAATGGAACTAGGAGATCAGAATTCCATGACATGGGTTCTGTTATCGGAAAGTACAACTGTGAGATACACTCACTAAATATGATATGTGTCTTTTCAAAATATTTAATTAAAAATATTAGTTAGATTGATAAATGTGCGGGCTAAAGTTTATGATACAGGGGACAGTCTTTCACATTTCTGCTCACTGCTTTTGGTAGATCATAAACAAAGAGGATCAGGTTAGGTCCCTCACGTATGGTGCCTGTGAGATGCAATGTGTTTAGTCAGTGGGACTGGCTGTTGAAGAATTTTCACAGTGTTTGTCTTAATTTGAAATTTGAAACTTGATATGGGGGCAATTACACTACCTTCATACTGTCCATACCAGTAACTTAAACTGGTAGAACATATATTCTAAAACTCTGATTTTACGAAGAAATGAAGCTCTGAGTATGTAATCCAACCACTGCTCTCTACTGCAAGTTCTTCTTTGAGAGCCTAGTATTAGGTGCATGATTGGGAACCTCGGAACGTGTTGCATTTCATACTAATCAGAACAATCTGTAGTAAGCCCTGAAAAAGTATTTAAGTGTATAAGGATGAGTAAAACAATATTAGCAAGGGAAAGTGGAAACGTATGCTCTGAGATGATTGAAATACTCCATAAAAACAAATTTTTAGGCTCTATCCATATGTTGTCAGCTTGGGTAGGATACACTATTCAGAATGGAAGAATGGTGGCACTGTGAGGGATTATCTCATCTGACTTCGGCTACCTTAAAGTTAGGCATCTTCTCAAAGGCAGTTGTGCAGGCTCTTTGTAGTATGCTAAAAAGGACAGACACTTCAAGAGCTGCCTGAGAAAACTGGGTGAGAGAATCCTTGCTACAGTGGCAGCTTCACTGGAATAATGAGACGTCTAAAAAGATTAACCAATAATAATAGTTTTGCATGTGTTACTGCTTGTGCTAGCAATTGTGCTTTTAGGAATCAAATTCTCATAAAAAGAAACTCAGACGTTTAAATGTAACAAATATCTTAACCAATAACAGTGGAATAAACATGAATACTCTATCAAATAGTCCTTTTACAATTCAACTCTATAGCTAGCAGATGTGGAAAGAGTCTATTCCGATTATTTTTTTTATTGTGGAGTTATACGCTGGAAGTAAAAAGAAGTTTCCCTCTGTTGCAATGCATGCTCAGCACATACCAGACACTAGATTCTTCGCCACTATTTGGACTGACCTGTACAGTAGTTAGTTTTGCAGATGATGGAATAGCTGATACTTCTGTAACATGTCTTACTCTTTACTTACTTCCCCAGTAAAATATTCTAGAAGAAAATTTTTTGAAAATGAAAAATCTGAAAAAATACAATGGAAATCCCAGAAAATTCCAATTCCAGTGTCCTAGTAAGTGGAGAGTTCTCTCTATCATCAAAATGCCTTTTTCTGCAAAACTGGAGTTTTTAAAATAAAGTCAAGTTATGCACTACGGGAATAATAAATGTTTACAACACAGCTGCTGAAATGCTAAGCATGACAGCAATACACAGAAGAGCCGGGGACACCTGCCATGGGCTCCTGCATGTTGCCACAACAAGGCACTCTGCTGAGTTGCCAGGAGCCCAGGATGGAGTGGTCAATGAGAAAGGAAAGCTGGGATTGGGAAGCTGCTTAGATTAAGGATGCCTGAAGAATGGCATCCTTGCCTGCATGGAGCCACAGCTGAGACCCAGAGGGTCTCTCTCTCTCACTGTTTTGTGGAAGTGATTGCTCATATGCAATGACTAAACCTCTCATCTTGGCATCCAGCTCTACTGGATGCTCTCAGCATTTTGCCAGCTGTGAGAAGGGTGTGCCTGTGTCTATCAGCCCCATTCCCCGTGGTCAAAAGTGTCATAGTAGCTAAATCCAAAAGGATCAGCAAGAACAAACTGATCTGCTCACCCTTCCCCTGCATGGGGGACTTGTCCTGATTACCTTATTTCTTCAAAAATATGTTGTAAGAAAAACAAAATCTTTAACAAACTGTGCTGGAAGTTTGTGAAGGGCACTAGAAGGGCACTAGAAGAGAGCAAGGTAACTCGCTCCTACATATTCCTTCTCTCAGAGCCACACGAAGAGTTACAAGTAATGGGTCTAGAAAATGGATCCAAAGTGCAGAACTGAGAGGAGCTCTGCTAAAAGCAGCATCAGATTGTGGACTCAGCTTCTTCTCCTAACCACTGTATGTAGCCGAGGAGAAAAGGGAGTGAAAAAAAAAACAGAAGGTAATGCTCTCACAATGTAACTCATCCACCCAGCTGTGCTGCCATGCATGGCTGCACCAAATTCATCCTGATCACAGGCACAGTGCGGAGGCAGGGAGCTGGGCAAAACACAGTGCTCTGCCTCAGACCAGGCTGTGCTCAACACAGGGTGCCAGTCCATCTGATATAGACTGCCATTGCATCCACAATATATTTCCTTTCTGTTTTATTAGCAAGAGTATTACCTTCATGAATTACATACTATATATTCCCATCAAATTTGATTCTTTCAACTCTTATAAATTTCAGTGTGACTTGAAGACATTTAATAGGGATTATACCAGATATTATCCTGTGTCAAATATGAGTATAGAGTACTATTCAGGGGAAAATGTGCATGATGACTGATTCAGGAGTACAAAATCCAGCACTGTCCAGGGCTTCAGTCAGGAGCAGATGAGACAGTAAATGTCCTGTTGGCACAGAAGTTAAACCAGTAGGTCTCTGTATGTTGAAACGATTTTTTTTATGCATGTGCTGGTCAGTGTGAGAAAGACTGCTGTAAAAGGCAATTTGTTTACTGAAGAAATAAATAGCTTGTAGAGAGGAATTTATATTAATTAGCTGTCAGATACACCCTTCTTTTCACAGGACAGAGCTTTGTCAGGTGGGAAAAGAAATGTTGGAAGCCCAAGTTAGTGGAGCAAGCTGGATTATCACTGTGGTCCTTTGTGTTCTCAAAACACAAATGTCTATCTAGTATGAGCTGACATATATTCAGTGAAATAAGTGGAATTACATTTGGTTGAATTAGTGGTGAAGTTGTACAAAATGAACTGAGCACTGAGCATGTTGAAGCTCTCTTTCCTTGTCATTCTGCTTCTGTGCCATTTTCTCCACATTATTATTCCTCCTGATTTATACCCTCTAACAACTTCTTGGCTCCAATACTGAATGCTGTTGGGGTATAGGTACAACAAGCTATTATGCAGCACTCAGGTGCAGAAGGAAGATGTGATCCTAGGTTACCAGATAATTGACTTTTTCAGTTACAAATGACATGCACCAAAGTGCTTAAAGAAAGCTGAATGCTACCATTTTATTCCAGGACTCAAGGCTATGCGTTGCCCCATACAGAAATCATGTAGACTTCTGGGGAGTTAATAGACAGCTGTTCTGCGGATATCAGGACATCACTAAGTGGCACAACGGGAAATACTTCTTTCAGAAGCCCATGGGCTTACTACTTGCATGCCTCAAATATATGCTGAAGTGGTCTGATGTCACAGAGCCTTAATGAGAAGGAAATCTGACAGGCACTGTGGTTTTCATCTTATAAAATCACTGTTCTTTGGGATGAATTTTCTGTTTCTCAGCAGAAAATTTAGCCATACCCAACAGACATAAGGTTAGCGAACACAGTAATGACTTGTGACACAAACTTGGTAAGCTTTTCTCAGGACAACTGAACCTGTGGTTTTGGCCTCCTCTGAGTGGCAGACAGTTTCATTAGCAACTGAAAGATTTCCTCTCCTTCCCGCAGCTTCTTGTCTTCCTTGTACTTTGTTTAGGTCCTGCATGACAGTCAAGCACCTGTATAGGCAGGCTTTGTGCTGGCTTTACTGCAGCTGTAGTACACATGGGGTACCCGGCACACATTATAGGAAAGCAGTTCTGGCTGCACCAGGAGATGCAAGAGATGCCTCAGAGGCACAGAAATGCTGCCAGGCAGCGGGGACATCAGCCTAGACACAGGTGGATGTGCCACCTGGGAGCAGAGGGATGTGCCAAGGGAAAACGCTGACTCTGGGGGACTGTATGTATTGCTCCTGCACAGGAATGCAGATAGATCAGCAGGAAATTGCTGAAGGAGGATTCTGTGGCTTTTTACAGATAACAGAAAGACTAAAAAAATCTCAAACCTGAAAGCTTTTAAGCACAGTGGAAGGAAAAACTGCAGTACACACACAGCGTGGGCCAGGCTTTGCAGCACACATTGGTACCTTAAGGAGCCCTTTGCAATCAGTCCAACGAGTCACAGTCCTCAACTTTAATAGACATTAATAAGCAGAGAGAGGTGCTTCAAGGATGGCTTGAAGTGTTACTTTGAAGAGAGTCGCTGGAATTGAGTGATTAGTGCAGAACAAGTTGCTGGAGACAGGCAGGCAAAAATCTGGGAAAAGGTGATTTGTGCAGCAGCTGGAGGGGTGGGTCCGTAACCAGCCCTGCTCATGATGGAGTGGGGACCTGGGAACAGTGGGAGGCTGTTGTGCTGTCTTCCACCTGCTTTTACAGGAACATATGGAGTATTCATAAATCAGGATGGTGCCTTTTTTTTTTCCCCTGTGAAAAATACAGAACTGGGGAAAGCAGAGGACTTGCGGTAAATTGCTCTATTCACTAGAGGGACTGGTAGCATTTGGGGATGATACCATGAACAAAATGAAGGCAGAAACAGAAGATTTCTTGACATTTCTGCAGTGAATGTAGAAAAAAGCACATGCAACCTCAGGATCCTGAGCCTTCAGCTCTCACCTGAGCACAAACACTTTTGAGACTTGTAGTTACAGCTGACTGAGAATACTGGGGCATCAAGCACTGCCAATAAGCAGTAAGTCCTGAAAGCTGAACACACAGCTCTGTCTTCCCTCAAACAATACCCCTTGTGGAGTTTTATTTGGATCTAATATTTCTTCATAACTATTCATCAAAATCTCTGCTCTTGATTTTTTCCCTTTTATGTATCTCTTTCAGCATTCTTAATTTACTTCTCTTTGCCCACAGAGTGCTAGCATTTCTATGAAGAATCCAATGAACAACTGGAACTTTGAAAGAATATCACTTCTGTTCATCTTCCAAAAAATATTTTCCAATAAAACCAGAAGATTCTGATAGATACTTCATGCATATAAGAATACTTTTATAATTTTCCCTTGATAGAAAAATCAAGAATAAAATATTAAAATATGTTGATATCATAACTAAGTTGTTAATATTTCCATATTTTCATAAAAAGGTCCCATAAATCCAGCAGCTATGTTTACGTCAATATAGCACATAAAATATTATACAAATGAAAATACATAAGTTAGGCAACTCGAAGACTTTACATATTTTCATTTCAAACAGACTCTGAGATTTCATACTTCCATTCAAGGACATGAATATTCCTTTCAAAGAGAAGGTGATAAAATTAAGTACCGTACCAGTTGGGTCAAAGTCTGGAAAATAATCTGGGCAGTTCTGAGCAGTGATTCTGCCAGCAGGAGTGTCATCCCAGCACAACCAGCCATCCCATGTTCGGTTGCAGAACAGACCTGGATGTTGAAGAGGAATTCAGTAGTCAATTCAGCAGTCAATCCTGAGCCCATTCTGTTCTGACCTCCCAAGGAATATTGCTATCTGCAGACAATAAAGTGGTTTTGCAATATAAGCCCCTGTTATTGCTACACTTGGAGTGGCGTTCAGTTAGTAGAAAGTGCTTGGTTTTGCCAACCAGATTATAGTGGTTTTAATGTTACCAGAAACTACTGTTTTAAAGCCTACTGAATGGAGCTTTGAGTGTAGGGTGTGAACCTACACATTCTTGTTCTTGACAGTTGTAGCAGACAGGACCCTGTAAGTTCTCTTCTGCAGAGGTAGCACTCCTGGCACTGTGTGCCTTGCAGGGATTATCTCCAGACACAAGAAAGACAAAGTGGATGAAAGAGGGAGGCAGAATACTGCACTTTCTTGCTCCCCATTAGAGGGATGTCATACAATGGGGTCTGCAGAAATTGCACTATGAGACTGCTTGCGAAAACACAGCTTTCTTGCTCACAGTGGATTCATGCAAATAGCACATCAGGACCAAAAAAAGATAATTCTTGGTTATTTTTCATGCAAAATCAGTTTTCACTGGGGAAAACATATTAACTAACATGAGTGACAGGTTAAAGGGAGATACAGTGAGAAGACATACTTTGCCATTTTTTGCTCTGGTCCCAGAGAATTTTCAGAATAGCTGCTATCACCATGTAGGTTGTTTCTGACAGACTTACTTAGAAGGTATTTAATACCCTTGTTCACTTTATTAGCAAGCCTAGTATCAGCTGTTTGCTATCTTTCAGGCATTCTCTGTCTTTGAGATACATTTGAAAGACTTTTAGAAATTGTTTTGTAATACCAAAGAAGAGCAAAAAAATGTTTGCAACTTGTATCTGAATGACACAGTAGAATGAAGCTGATAGGGATTTCAGGCTTTAATTTTAAATCCTTTGCCTTGCCTTATAAAGCAAGGTCCATACAATGTGGAATGTGTCTTTCAAGGTCAGGGATAGGATATATACATACATCTGCCCATAAGTATAGATACACATACACCAACATACACATATATATATGTGTTTTTGAATTCCTGAAACAACTCAGACAGTCTAAATAATAAACCATGAAAGGCAGATGTGAACAACGTTGCTGAATCACTGACCAGAACAATTACATTTCTGGGGGAGTGTGGGTACGCTGTGCAGGACTGTCAGGCACTCCCTTGCGCTTGAACTGTACATTTCATTACTCCACTGTGGTTTAAACTCATCAATTCTACCTTGAAACGGGCAGGTATACTCAGTAGATGCCTTCAGCTCATATCTTGGGCTTTTCTTCTCTGGAGACACTCCAATAGTTGTCCTTTGCACTAAGGGAATTAACCATCTCATATGATCCTCCCTTTCAAATTATCAGCTAAGAGATCTAGGCATTTGCTCACTTCCATCTGTTTGTGACATACATTTAATATTTATGAAATATACATGTTGGAGGACTGATGAGGATCCTGTAATTGAGTTGCGACTCAGAGAAACAAATCCACAGTGAAAAACACAACTTCAGTAGCATTGGCCTTTTTCTCTGTTCACTTATTATCTTCAGTCTGAGTTACAAATGCATTAAATGCATGTTGCTATGAACACAACACTCCCCAGTGGCTCTGTTGAAACCCAGCTGTCAGCTGAAGGAGAGCAGAAACTGCTGAGCTGTGTCAGATGGCTGCTGGTCTGCTGCTGCTGTCCTCCTGGACAGTCCTGCCCAGGAGAAACCACCAGGATGACATCATATGAAACAAGAATCACTCCATGCTGGGCAAACACTTCAGCCCTTTGCAACAAATTACATGTGCAAGGGGTAAAAAATCAAAAAAAGAAAAGAAAGAAAGGGAATAGATGAGAACTATCAATTAATGCAAAAATTACATTTTATAGAGCTGGAGACTAAACAAGTAACGTGTGCAGAGAATAGCACAGCAGCTAAAGGCTTGTTTATGTCTGAAACATGACAGTTTTTATTGCTCCTTTTAAATACTTGCATGGTGGTTTTTTGTTTGTTTGTTTGTTTCTCCCATTATTGGCCTAATTGAAAACTTATTTGAATCAAAGGGTTCTACATTGTACATTTCTACATTCATTCCAAAACAATTCTGCATCAAGGCCTGAATATCTTAACATCTAGTCACTGACTCTTACAGACAGCAATAAAATCTGATGAAGAGTTACAGAAATGCCTTTGTGCTTATACTGAAGAAAACCTCACCAACATATTATCTCCACTTCATTAACTGCATTGTTTGATTTTTTTTTCTAATATAACTTCTCTTAAACAGTGCCTCCATTCCCTGTGTTCTTAGGGACATGGGCTAGTGGGCAGCGTGGTGATGGGTTGACAGTCAATCTCAGAGGTCTTTTCCACCCTTATTGATTCAATGATTCTATGACTTTATGATTTTTTACTTGCACAAATTTCCACTATGCCTCAAATATTTTTTCTTTAGCTTCCTCATAGCTTCTTCCTTATTTTTTATTGAAGAAATGACCAAAAGAGAACCCTCAGTCCCAGCCTGATAGGCTTCTTCATTCACTGCATGCCATTGTTGCACCACTATTATTTGTCATGTCTTTTTCCTTTTTATTAATCTTAACATGTGTCTCCTATTCAGTAATGATCTGTCCTCAGTGCTTTATAAACCTCTTTTTACTAATGTTACTGTTGAATACAGAAGACCAGGAACACTTGTGCTGATACACAGCATGACAGTTCTCAATTCAGGACAGACAGAAAAGCAAAACAAATGAGCAAGACTGGCATTTATATTTAAGATATTACTGTTCACAGTCACATCTTTGTGTAATAGTACCAAAAAATACTGCACTGACAGTTCTGGAAAACTTAACTGTCTAAGGAAGAGAACAGAAATTCAAGCAGCAAAGCCCTGAGCCGGCAATGCACTTCACCTACATGACACAGGTACCATCTGCATGGAAAAGGAGGAATAGCTGCTCATTCCCTGGGCTCACTCTAGCCTTTCTTCTTTCTTAGCATCTCAGAGGACAGTAAGTTAGTGTGAATCTGACTGCTGCTTACCGGAAGGCAGCTGCATCCCAAGGAAAAATATAGGTTAGTATAGAGAACAAAATGCTTCTTTGTAGTGATATACACAAGCATGGTAATGTACAAACAGAACTTTTTTTATCTTCTTTACCTTTTTTCCTATATGGAGGAGCTCTGTTCATCCTCTCATAGCATTTGAACTGCGAATCTATTATCTTCTGTCGTATGACTGAATTTTCAGTTACTACAGGCTCTAATGTAGGATCAGTATAATTTACAGTAGCAGTAAGACTTGGAACCACTCTCTGTACAGAAAGGAAAAACTGTTAGTGACACTGAATAAACCAGCAAGATAAAAAAAAATTACAAAAGGTCAGAAATCTTCATTACGCATTCCTCAAAGGCCTTTTACTTGCGTATTATGATAGACCTTATTACTTTCAAAGGAAGTGCTGAATTTCAGCTAAGTTTACTTCACTATAAACTCAGGATTTTAACCTAGCCCTTTTTCCTGGCAAAAGAAAGAACCATTAAATACTAGATAAAGTCTTTAAAATCTTTCCATTTAGATTAGTGATCTGCAAAAAAAATTAGTACATATCTGCAGAATGTTGCACCCATGTACTTCTTCCCACTTGTGCTGATTTCTCTCTAGATTACCCAGTCAGTACCACAGGCTGGAAACCTTATTATTTCATGTTTTCTGCTTTCTGCTTTGAGCTCCTTCAACTTTTAGGGCCAGAGTAAAGGGTTTAAAACTCACAACCTGAGCTTAGTTCCTAATTAAGTGCCTAAGCAAAGTACCCCCAAATCTGAGAGTCTGAATGAAAAGTCCTCTTTGATAAAGTGGCCTTTTCTGAAGGATTCCACTCTGAGCTGCCTGAAGGGCACACAGAAGGACCACTGCCTATGGAAGGCCAAGAGCTCAGGCAGAAAGGTCAGTTGTTCTCTTTCCATCCACCCCTCTGTTGCACAGCCTCTGTGAGTCAGGGAGGAAATGAGTGTACGGAGCTCCAGTTAAAGCTCTTTTGCCTTAATTCTGTATCAGGACACTTCTCTGTGGGAAGGTGATAGGAAAGGGTTATTTCTTCTGATTCCCCAAGTAAAAGCAATACAACTATGGCCCTTTCTTTGCATGACTATTTTTCTTTACCTGCAAAGCTATACTTAAGCCATTGCAAGTACATACAGAGTTATTTAAAGTCTCCTTCAAAACTGAGAACTCCCATAAGCCTTGAAGTTCTTGGGGATCTTTCTTATTCAAAGCCTACATTTCTCTAGACAAACCATACAGGTAATGTTACTAACATTAATACTTTTAACAGTATTTTCTCCATAGTAAAGAGTAAGTTTAGGACTTTTAGGAGCATGCTTCAGATTATATTGATCACCTCCCATGCACATTCGAGCCTATGAGATTCACATTAACACTAAATGCTTGTTCAAAGATTGTTAAGCAGGCATTTAGAGCTGTACAATCAAAAACCATGACAGGTTTGAAAGTTCAAACATGAAGTGAATTTTTAAACTACTCTTTCCCTTTTTTCTTACTGCACATTGCAAACAGCTGTATCTCATTAACACTTTGCTTTCTTTTCCATTTGCACAGACAAAGCAGCTCATTAAAATACATAGCAAAACAGAGTATGTGAAAATATGTCATTACTTGATGTAGATATGTCTGTGCTGAAACATCTCAGTTTCATCTTTTTATATCACCTTCTTCTCCCTAACCAATTTTGTTCTAATTTAATTGCTTTTTCCCAATTTAATCTAATCCTTTCTCCTGCTGAGATTTTATTTTTGAACTTCATATAGCTACTATTTGAAGACTGGAATACACTGAAGGCACTTAATCTCACTGCATGTAACATGAAATTTGAACTTGAAATAAAATGACAGAAAAAAGATGAAAGATATTTTTGGTAGATATAACTCTATATGAATTTTGTGTGTAAATATATATATATACATGCATGAATAGATATGCATGGACAGTGAAGGCATTTGGAAGATTTCGTCTGGCCACTTAAACGAAAAAATTAAGCTTCTAAAAGGCCAGAATAGAAAATACAGAAGCAAACCCCAGTATATTTGGGTTCTCTCCTTTATGAAAAGATTAAAGGAGTAGATGGTGTCCAAGGGGATCATTTAAAAAGCAAACCAGCAATGTTGCAGATATCACGGGAAAAAAAAAAAAAACAGATGAAGTTTTCCAGCAGTCTTCAGGTCTGTTTTTGCCCTTCCTGTCTGTATATCACCATAGGCTTCAGTACTTCCCTGAAGTGATTCATAGAAACTCCAGATTTATTTTTTCCCCATTCTTATTTTGAATAATACCTCAGTTCCAAGCTGTTTGCATTTGAGAGAGGAACAGCAGAGTCAAAGACAAGCTGGGGATTCCCATATCGCTGCCTCTGCTCTCAACAATTCCTCTGTCACTGGGGGCCAATCTGGGAAAGCACTCATGTTTTGAAAGCATAACCATCTGATAACGCTGGGAAACCATCACCACTTTTCTTTCACTTGAAACAATGTTTTATTTGACTTTCATTTTGTTTTGGGAGGAGATGGTCTGTTCTTCAGCTTGTTTGACCAAACAAGACCAATTCACACTAACAATACAACCAGAAAGACTGAAGTTGCTGATCATAAATTGCAATTTCCCTTGCTTTATCTGTACAGAGTAAAGCACAACAGAACTGTATGATAATTGGCAAATGCCAGCTACACAGATAGAAACTGTAAATACTTTTTAAGTGCATTGAAACATCCTTCCCTTCTTTTAAGTTGTTTTGGTTCATTATTATCCACCATTCTTGCAAGGACAGATTTTTCCCAAGATTGTAAAGTACAAAAACATATAAACTGAAATTAAAAGAGATGCCATCAGAAAAGAAACGCTCCATTCCCGTCTTTCAACAGGTGAAGATGTAACAGTTTGTAACCAGGGTTGAAATTTTTGGGGATGAGATACAAGAGAGCAAAAAACACCTTTCTCTTCAAAGTCAGTTTCATAATTTGCTGCATGTAAGGGATGAGTCTACTTCCTGAAGTAGACAGCTCTTATTAGGTATAGATTAATGAGAATAATACTTGGAAGCAGAGTTCCTGTGGTGGTAGATAGGATGAACGTTTTGGATTGTGCACTAAATTATTTAAAGTGCTCAAACTTGTAACCATTCTGCTACCTTTGGGCAAGGCAATCATGCTGCAGTTGAAATTGTGAGAAAAATCCCTATTACCCACATTTGGTCCAGGAATTCACTTAGAGAGATTAAAAAGATAGATGAGAATATGTCAGAAAAGCTCAATGAAAATAGTTTCTTCATCAGGGGAAATAATTTAATGGCCAACAGTAAAAATAAAGCAACTTCGGATAAAGACTGGAATATTAATGTTAGGTTACATCAGTCTCATACATTTATCTCATTTTTTACTTATGAAATCTGAAGAATCAGATTTTGAGTTAGTCACACACACATTTCCAGGCACCTTTGATGTAACTGTAAAAGCTTGAATGTGAAATCAAATTACAGAGTTATGCGTAGGTGTGTTACTGGTATTGTTCATCTGCGATGTGCCTAAAATACACACACTCTTCCATTTGATTACTCATTTCTTTTTGCCTGGATTTGAAAAGCCAGCCATGGAATTTTGAACAATATTTTATTCTGCCTTGAAACAAATGATCATTTCTGCTGACTAACAACAAATAAATCTGATGGCTTGAAAGAGGGTGAGCAATTAAACCTTTGTTTACTACCACACACAAAAGAATTGTGCATCCACCAACATTCTGATACGTGGAGCCTAGTGCCTGCTCACCCCAAAGCCATGGGCAGAACTCCCACTCAGTTCAGTGGGATGGTGATCCGGCCACATACTGGGGATCAATCATACAAAGATCTTACCACAGTTTGATGTTGGATATCATTGTTAACTTATTCTTTCTGTGCTCCTTACCTTTAGGATGAGGAAAAGGCAAATGAGCAAAAAGAAATCTCTGGGTTGCTATGCTGTTATCAAAGGTAAAAGAGGCCTGGGCATGGCTACATGTGGGGAAAGCTTCACCTGAATAGTGCCTATGCTATGGAATAAATGTTGGATGTTTGGAGTCCATTATTGCAAGTTAAAAACCCTTCCCATCTATCCATCAGTTACTTCAGATGGAAGTATAAATGATGTTGATACAATAAAGGAATGGTTCATCCATTTACAAATATTCTTTATTAAAGAGAAATCAGTATTTCACAACTTAATAAGCAGGATGTGTCGACAGCCTGAAAATGATTGTTTATGATTTCTTCAGAAGAAAAATGCTTAAGTGATGTCCCATGCAGCAGTTTAGCAGCCGTACATATGATGTCACTCCTAAAAGTCCAAGTAAATGACGTCATACATACGACCACCAAGCCACCACGTGACAAATGACTGTCATAAGAAAATGATTTATCATAACAAAGAAAAAGAACGGGCTGCTGGGAATGCTGAAGTTCACTTTAAACCTAGAATGGACAAAGTAATCTAGAGAAACAACTTGGATTTGTTATTAAACTATATTAAGATTAGTAAATCGTGCACCAGTTTCTGTAAGACAGACACCTGCTATTAACCTCTACTAGACTATGCCTATTTCTGAAACACAAAATCCAAATAAAGCAAGCATAAAATTCACCTTTTTTTCCACAAAATACTGGATGCGATGAACAGGTATTCCCAAATACTTTTCTTCCACCATCAAGGAGCTAGACTAAACATGACTTTTGAAAATAAAGTATCTGCAGCTTTCTTTCCTTTTGATTTTCCCCCAGATCTTCTTTGAGCTCAGTCAAAATGTATTTCAGAATCTGGATCCTACGACTGCTTATTATTGATAGCTCAAAAATATATTTGATGCATTTCTTTTAAAACTGCTCAGTTTAGTCACCTCTTACTGGGTGACTTAACTCTTGTTCTTTGACACACCACATCTTCAAGCAAGAGCTCAGCATGACTCAGCCTTGTTGCAGAGCTCCTGTTGTACCTTGATTGTGTTTGAGAGACTTTTCACAGCCACCAGTGTCAGAACAGAGAAGAAAACCACTGTGATGCCTTAGGAAGGTCATTAACAGAAGGTACTCAGTAAACATAACAATGATTGCTTATTCATTACGAAGGTACTTAGAAACAGCAGACAACAACTTCTTGGGGGAAATACCTCAACATGACATGTTTTACTGAACCATCGAATGTTAAAAATTTCCCGTATTCAATTGCTGTTGAAGCAGGATGAAAACATCTCATAATTATATCCCATATAACTTACATTGCAGATTTTGTAGGCTATGTAGACGAGCAAAAGATTATCACCCACAGTAGATGAATACAAGACACTTTGAATGGAAAGCAACTTGTAACCCTCTCTTACAGTTCTTTTCCATTGCTGCAGTCAGTATTTGCTCACATGAGGAAGCTTTACTCTCAGGACAGACTGATGCAGACTGTGAGCTTAGAGCAAGGCTGCAGAATGCTTCAGGGATTTTGAATGCAGCTCTAATTAATCACCTTGCAAGAGACCTCTTTAGAGCAATCAGCTGCATGGCAACAATCTTATGTTAAAAAGCAAAAATGGAGACAAAAATGTCTGGCTCACCCTGAAACTTTGGTGAATGCAATCCTTTCCTGAAAAGTTGCATGCAGATAGTGCCTGAAATGCTCAAAATAACCTACAGTAAGTCTTTATCATCAGCATTGTACCTCCCCAAATATTCATTACATGAGAAGAGCTCTGGCATTTGCAAGTCCTTACAGCTTGAAGCAACTCACACAAAGGAAAATACACCTTTCCCTCTGCTTTGTCAGCACATCTCCTGGCCCCCCAAAGGCCAGTACCTTCTCTACACCAGATGTTAGAGGAACCACTGTTTAAGCAGGAAAGTCTTATGCAGAATAGGAGCAGGCTATGGCCCCCCTGTGCAGTGTATCACACCTGTAGCTGTGGGGGACAGCCGGCTGTGGCACCTCACTGCTGTGTATCACTGTGGCAAGAGTGAGATGCTTGCACGATGAGCCATGCCCTCCTCACAGTACTAAACATATTTCTAAGTGGCTTCTGGAGACTCAAACCTACTATAGTTGTGTTCCAAAATATGCCAGTTTTTGTACTTACCTAAATCACACTCAGGCGTTCACATGATTAATTTTCCATGTTTTATGAACTGCAATTATTCACAAGCCTTTCAGGATCTGACACAGTATATCAGACTGTGAATCTCAGTGATTGAGATTTGGTAACAATTTGACAGGTCTGGACTTAATAAACTGTACAATTTGGTTTTTTTTACTCAAAATGAAATTGTTTTAAAATGTAGTCTTGATCAAAGGGATTTAATTGAATAATGGTGTGGTCTGAAGCTGCAGCATTTGTTTTGTCCTTACTGAGCACTCTGTGGTTGGCTCAGGACAACAAAATTGCAATATATGAGCAAAAACTACTCCATCCGTCCTCATTTACAGGGCAGGAGCAAATTACCATCTGCAGGCACAAAAGGAGAATTTTTTCTTGACAAAATGAGGTAGAAAATACAATTCTCTTATCTCAATGTCCTGAAAAATTGATCAGTCACACAGGAAAAAGACCCAAGCTTGTTTCCTCCTCCCTCTCATTTTCAGCAGTCTGATCTCCCTGGACACACTGTTCCAATGCTCACCCTTCCTGTGGAGAGAAATGTGCATGTAGGAGACGGTCTAATTCTGCCAGCACATGGAGACTGAGGAACTTGAAACAAATTTCAGTTACACTCCGGGGTTCTCAGTAATTACTGAAAAATAGGCAGTATCAGGAATAAGGTGAAATAAGAAACATTCCCTGAGAAGAACAATTAGAATTTCTAAAGAAATTCCCTCCGAATTGCAAAGGAATATCTGTTAATGGTGGAAGAATGGCTATTATTCTGCATACAAAAGCAAGGGGAGCAGTCAGAGGACAATAAGAAATGAGCTTTGCTTCTAATAATTGAGTCTTGGAGTCAGGTGCTTTAAACAGTTTGTGTTTAGTATTTTTTTTTAGTAATTTTAGTAATTACTATGGATCTATACACAAAGGAGTAGAGTGCTGGGTGGTCTATGTAGAAATGATACATTTTCTATCAGAAGGTACCAAAACCACTTGGGATAGGTCTGAAGGCTGGAAACTGTGGGGAGGAGGACCTATGGAGTACTTGTAATTGGGGTCTAGGACCAAGCATGCAAGGAGGGATATGGGACTGGCACTGGGAACCCAGGAGCAATTAGAAAATCTTGCAGAATGGGAATGGCCTTTCTGGAAGAGAAAGAAGGACACCCTTTCCTTATGACAGACCACGAATAAAATGTAAAACTTGTGTTTTTCCACCAACTTCAGGTGGAAAAATTTTTCGAAAGATGACCCTTGCCAAATATTTTTCGTATTTGATTTAACAGCAGTGTTCTGGCAAGTACTATCAAGAAAATAGAGCTTGTTCACAGTCCTCATCTACGACTGTGGCTTCTCCCTTACCAGAAGATAAATTGATTTAAGAGGTGTCTAACAAGATAATAGTATGGCCACCACAGTGGAAAAGGATGGAATGCTGAGATTGGAGCAGTGAAAATGTAAGTAAATTTGTGCTTAAGTTACACATACAGAGATCTCTAGTGTAAAGATATGTAAAAGGAAGGAGATGCAGATTTTACTGCAAAGCTTCCTAAATAAGTCCTAGCCCTGGGCTACTGCTGTAAGGAGGACAGAACCAATGCTGCACATGTGATACCGTAGGTGAGAGATCTAATTTAGAGAGAGGATCAGCCAAACCTTTCAAGACTGTTCTCCAAATATATGCCGTAAGACAGAACGCTCCAAACACTCAGTAAGGGCTGTTGTCAATTTTAGTTAACAGAATATTTACAGTCCTGTCATTTGATTGTGGAAGAAAAATAATCTGGGACTGTTCTTCCAGTTGGCTTTGATTTCTTACAGGAAGACTTGCTGTTCTTTGCCAAGGCTCCTGTTATGTTATGCAGGTCAGTCGGGATTATTCAAGCACAGAAAATATCTGGTCTCAGATGGGTCCTTTGGCTTTGAGAGATCTCTTAACATGCATGATGTTCCAGCCAGCACAGTTCTACGTGCACCACTCGCAGGGCTATGTGTAACAGACACATAATGCCACAAAAACCAGTATACTCTGATAAACATCAAGGCAGATTTTTGCCAAGCACAGGGATAATCATTCAAATCATTAACTAATTCTGGATTAATTATTTTTGAAACCAAGCTAGCAGAAAAATGTTGTCTCCTCTGTTCATTCTCTTGCTCTCCAGCTCATCTTTGTTTGAAGTCCCTGATACTGAAATATGAATTCAGTATTTTACCCAAGTAAGGCATTCTTTGCTATTCTTCTGCATTCTTCATGATCTCATTTCATTGTTTTATTCCACCATTCTCTTACTGTTCTTGGCTTCCCTACCTTATTTTTTCTCCATGTTAATTTAAGTGGCAAACAGCACAGTGGGCAAGTTATGCTAGGCTGAAACAAACAAAACAGGGAGAGAGGTCTCTGCCATTCCCCAGAGTGTCCTATAGCCCCATTTCTACAATTTATAACCAGAAAGGGTGTGAGCTGATGGGGAGACACACACCAACATTCCATATTCATTCCACATGAATGGAAGAAAAGCTGAGAAACAGAGGGGTCTGAAGAGCTAACCAACAAGATACAATCAAGAGTAATAAAAATCAAAGGTTTCATCAGGAATACAGAGACAAATATATCTTTGAGGAGTAAGGTAGCATCAGGCATACAAGTTACTCAGACACCGAGGCAGAGAGATGCTCATTCCCGGCAGCATCATTCAGACATATGACTGCTGTGTTACTGGGGATTTGGATAGTGTCCACATTTCTGAATATCTGCAATGTCTTTGATTTTAATCATCTAATCATTTGAGGTTCCACAAGTAAACCTCAAAGAAACCATTCAACTTACATGAGAGGTATTTAGTCAAGTAGAAATTCATTTGCTACATAGTTAGAAAAATAGTTACCCAGCCATGCTGCTGTTGAATATATTGGAGTAACAGAAATATTGAGATCAAACAGTTGGAAGTAGTGTTTGAACTTGACAATTAATCTTTATAGTGATATTTGCCATTTCTATTGCTTTCCTGAGACCAGAGCCAACATAAACAGTGAAAATTCACAATCACTTAAGTCAAAGTCTCACACAACGTTTAGGAAGTTTTCAACTAGTAAGTTTCAAAATCCAGTCAAAAAAACACAGGCATTACCATCTTCAGACTTGCAGTTTTGTCTCACTGGGGAACGGTAGTTTCAAGTTCAAACTTTTATAAGATATCTTATTCAGAAACTTTATTAACCTTATTTCAAAGTTTTATCAGTAAGGGAACTCATTTCTTCACCTGTGCTGTATAACAAATATAACTCCTTATTTTTCTGAACATCACCACAAGTTTGAATCTGGCAGGTGTCATTCATTTGTCTTATACTTACAATAAGAAGGATAATCAGTAAGAAGCAACTGTGGGTAGTTTTTTTCATTGTGAAATCTTCCTGCAGAAACACGTTGTAGCTGATCCTTCTGGGAATTAAACAGCAAAAACAAAACCAGGATTAGATTTTGTTACAATGAATTCCTATCTTTGTGTACAGGCATCTTTTTATACTTCAAGTGCATTCTGCATGTTTGTGTGCCTTCATCCTTCTGTGTGCTGATGTTTGAATTCACTGGAGACAGGTACACTTTTATTTCAGCCTCCCCTATGGATGCTAAAGTCAGCGGGCATGAATTACTGCTCCATATTACTACATGACCAGCAGCGTATCCACATCAAACTGCCTCTCTGCCTGCAGAGCTGACTTTAGTTGCCCTGATTCTGCTGCTTCTAATCTCCAAATGTCTGCAGACCCATGAAGAACCTGCATATTTTTTAAAATTACCCCCAAAAAAGAATAATCTGGTGCAATGATAGGCCACTCAAAAAGCATATTTATTGAGTGAGAGAAAGTCAGAGGATGAGTAACCACTAGGTAGGTTACCACAGAACTCAGTGTGGCAGGAAAAGAGACAAATTGGAAGCTCTTTAGGCTAGACCTCCTGGCAAAGGAGCAAGACTGTGGGTTTTCACAATCCAAAATGCAGCTAGCTTGCCTGGTCTGTGTGATTGGAGACAGACACGTGGCAGTGACTCTCCACCATTGAGAACTGCCTCTGCACAAAGTGCTAGAGAAGCACAGCATGGCCATACCTCCAAGGGCTTGAAGGGAACTGGACCAGAAGCTTTCTGCTTTTCTTTGTCTCTTTAAGTCATCACCCATCCAGCCTTTGACCACACCTTCATTTCTGAGGCATCTAAAAAATAGAGTGAGCACACTACCTGAGCACCAGGCATACCCAAACCCTAAGAATTTAATGGGAAAAGGGCATGAAGACTTTGAGGCTTAGCTTACAGTATGTTTAGTGAGCAAAACAATCCTTTGTGCAACTCTTGTTTCTGCCACAGCACTGTAGCAGCTCTTCTCTACTTGAAGTGGTTTGGAATGCCACCCATTACAGAGAGGAAATAAAACAGTTGTATTTGTCCTCATCTAAAGGAGAAATAATCTCAAAATGTAAGAAAGGTGTGGCACTTCTACTGCAATCTAATGCACTTGTATGTAATATCCCATGAATGGGAGTGTTTCATGTGCCACTGAGGTTACATAAAACATGGAATGATGAAAAAGAGGACTCAGAAAAAATGCCTCTGTTAAGAAGTAGCCTTATTACTGCCAGAGCCTTTCCAGAAGCATTCTGGTGTGCCAGAGGTAATGGGACAGGCAAATGACACAGAAATAACATATAATTATGCTGTCAGCCACATATTTGTATTTGATCAGCAATGACAGATAACTCAATTGAAGCAAAAATTGGTCAGCTAGATCTGAGGAAAATGTCTGGAATTGTTTCCATCTTCTGTATACTATTCCCCGCAGTGTATATTGGTTCAAAACTGCCAAAAAATATATGAGCATATAAATAATAGGTCTTGATCAGCTGCCCAATGAGCAGATATATACACATAAATGTGTCCATACAATGATGCACAGTACTGTGAAGTGTTCTATAGTGTGATGTAAAGCCAGTTGTCTTATGCATTCCCTCTACTAGCCTCCTCTGCTGCATTTACAGGGATGTGCTAAAAAATAGGCAAAATAACTTTGTCCTACAAGCTGTTGACAGTCTTGCAACACACTACTTGCCACAAATGGCAGAGCGATGAATTGTGATCTAGAAAGAGCAGGCAAAATCAATAGCAAACCCGCAATGCATGTAATCTCCTGCACTTAGTGCTAAAAGCGTTTACAGCATTATGTTGGATTAAAGCTGCAACTGCATGCAAATTTTAGTCAAGTGATATTTCGTGAATGTTTGCTACTATGTATTGGAGAAGCTATTTAAAATACTTCTTGCTCCATGTCTCCCAGTTAAAAAAACCATCCATAAAATATTGAAGACATTATTTTTTCCCTCTGTTAACTGTGATGCCTGTGCCGTATGATATTACATACGAGTAAATGAGTAAGAATTATTCTGCGTACTAAATCTTACATAATTTTGATATTTCTAGTCTTTCTTCTTCTAGCCAGCTCTAACCACAGGAATGGCTGACATGCTTGAAGTCCAGTACCTGTTTTTTTCTTCCTCTTTCACCAGAGTCTTCTCCAGGGCCAACAATTTTAACAGGCTTTAACAATGCTGCTATAAAGTCCCTGACTAAGAAGTAGCTTTTCTCTAACCTCAAGAATGACCTGCAGCACTACATGCGTGGGTTACTGGATCAAGGACAACGAGCATCTTGAAATGTAAAGACGTGCAGGTAAAAAGCGTTAATCAAGGGACAGATCAGGAATAATGTGGAGATAGAAAGATTCTCAGGAAGGGGAGCCCCAAAGAATGGATCATCAGCCTCTGGACAGAGGTTTGGACCTGCATCATCGCAGCTCTGTCCAATTGATTCAGGGTGATACAACAGGTAAACTGGAATGTGCAAAGTGCTATTTTCAAGTTTGGGACTGCTGTGCTAAAAACACTACTTGCACTTCTGCCATCAACCATGTTCTTGCTGAAAAGGAGGCTGGAAAGCCCCAAGCAGCCAGAAATACTGCATAGCTGGATCTGGATGTGTGCTATCATTATCTATGATGTTGTCTCTGGCTGGGTGGATAGGGGGAGAGCAGTGGATGTAGTCTACCTTGATTTCAGCAAGGCATTTGATACTGTCCCCCACGACATCCTTATAACAAAGCTGAGGAAGTGTGGGATAGATGAGTGGACGGTGAGGTGGGTTGAGAACTGGCTGACTGGCAGAGCACAGAGGGTCGTTGTTGGTGGTGCAGAGTCCGGTTGGAGGCCTGTAACCAGCAGTGTTCCTCAGGGGTCTGTGCTGAGTCCAGTCTTGTTCAACATCTTCATCAATGACCTTGATGAGGGGATAATGGCCACCCTCAGCAAGTTTGCTGATGATACGAAGTTGGGAGGATTGGCTGACATGCCTGAAGGCTGTGTTGCCATTCAGCAAGACCTGGACAGGCTGGAGAGCTGGGCAGAAAAAAGCCGGATGACGTTTAACAAAAGCAAGAGTAGAGTCTTGCATCTGGGGAGGAATAATTCCATGCACCAGTACAGGTTGGGGGATGACCTGCTGAAGGGGAGCTCTGCAGAAAGGGACCTGGGTGTCCTGATGGATGACAGGTTGTCCATGAGCCAGCAGTGTGCCCTTGTGGCCAAAAAGGCCAATGGCATCCTGGGATGCATTAAAAAGAGCGTGTCCAGCAGGTCGAGGGAGGTGATCCTCCCCCTCTACTCTGCCCTGGTAAGACCTCATCTGGAGTACTGCATCCAGTTCTGGGCTCCCCAGTACAAAAAAGACAGGGATCTCTTGGAAAGAGTCCAGCGGAGGGCCATGAAGATGGTGAAGGGCCTGGAGCATCTCTCCTATGAAGAAAGGCTGAGTGAACTGGGTCTGTCTACCTTAAGAAAAGAAGACTGAGAGGGGACCTTATCCAGGTCTATAAATATCTAAGGTGTGGGGGGCCAAGTGGCGAGGCCAGACTGTTTTCAGTTGTGAGTGGAGACAGGACAAGGGGAAACGGCCGGAAACTGCAGCATAGGAAGTTCCGCACAAACATGCGCAAGAACTTCTTTACAGTGAGGTGACGAAGCACTGGAACAGGCTGCCCAGGGAGGTGGTGGAGTCTCCTTCTCTGGAGATGTTCAAGACCTGCCTGGATGCCTACCTGTGCGACCTGCTGTAGGGAACCTGCTTTGGCAGGGGGGTTGGACTCAATGATCTCTGGAGGTCCCTTCCAATCCCTACAATTCTGTGATTCTGTGATTAGCACAGAAAGGAACTTGATCAGTAGTATATACTAATGTCATGACTCAATCACACACAGGCTTTGGTGACAGTACCTGCATAAGGAGTCCTTCTTTTGCCTTATTCTAGCTGCTCATTGCCACCTGACTAGTGCTACTGTCACAGCCATTTAATCTTTCAAAATGATTGGTGCATAGGCACTTCAGATGATTCTTCAATGCAGATATTTCAAGGTATGTACAAGGTTTTCCTGAGATCATGCATACTGCAATGAACACAAGCAATTATAGACAATGTACCGATAGCTATTTGGATCACTGGAGCTAATATAAGAATGATTATTATGAGGATTTAATATTGCAAATTTTGTTTCATTTGCTGAAGTTCTCAAGCAGATTCTAAGTTCTGACTTGATTCATGTTCTTCTACTGCTTATCTTTTTTTTTTTGTAAAGTTCAGCAATGTCCTTTCTTGATGTTAAGATAACATGATGTGCTTCATACATTTAAGTTTTAAAACATTCATATTTAGTCATATTTAATCATATGCACATGGTTAAAGCCCAGTATTTTTCCATGATTGTTCTAATTCTTCATCATCTGTTGCTTATAATAGTTCTGTACGAAATCCCAGTCTGGTTTTTAAACTAGAATATTGTTCTGTATTTCTCTGTTAATGTAGCATAGCATTATGTACTAAGATATTCCACTCATTTCAGCTATTACAGTAGTACCATGGGTACCTTGGGATTAGTTCTGAAGCTCATCTGAGGAACAGTACAACATCGGTAGTGTCATCTCTTTTGTCATCTCTATTCTGACTATTACGGTTTTAATACTAAACTGAACAGGGCTATAATTACAATTACCATTGGGTTATGCAAAGATGGGACTACCTTATCCACTAGTCATTTGCACAAGTGGCCTAACATAGCCAACAAGGAGGGCCAGAAAAAGGTGTAAGAGTGAAGATTCAAGAGAGGGCAGTAGATCAGCATTGACTTGCTGCAGACCAAGAAAACAATAAGAAAGAAAGGCTTTTGGGAGGAATAATGAGATAAACTTCTCATTTAATTATTCTGCTCTGATTATTCTGCAATGTCATATTTCACAATAGTGCTCACATATCTTTGGAGGAAGATTTTAACAACACAGTACGAGACTAGTAGGATTTGTGACCAAATACAGGAGAGTGATGCAACAAATACATCTTTCTCTGTGCT